CTTAGCTCTTCCTAGTAACCCTGCTGACATAAGAAGTTCCCTCAAGACCCTCCAACACGGTGCACACTCACTATCACAACCAAGACTTAAAATGCACAGAATAAGGTGTCATTTAACAGCACATCTGAAAAAGTACTCGTAAATTAAATAGGAAAATACGAGATCAATACTAATCCAATACTATGATGTTGATCTAATGCAACATGTTTTGCTAAAACCAAATCAGCAAAACTGATTTTAGTGCCCATTCGAGTTGCCCTCAGTTTTTGAGTTAATTCTTTTGATTCTGAGCATGAGGCACCCTAATTGGTGCTGCTGTTCTTATGGTCGTTGTTTTTCTTCTTAACCAGGAACTTCCTGGTCAGTCACCGATCCATTATTCCCAGGAGCTTGCTAGCTTAACAGTGCACCCAGAGTTCAATACTGACCCACGGCCAGTCCTTCCGCATTCCCCTCCCTGCTGACGCCCACTGCAGGTCGGGCACGGGGAGTAGTTCCACAGATCGAAGATGTCATTGGAATGAAAATGCAGGGCGTGCAGATGGTCGGGGCCTAACAGGGTCCCAGCGCCCGTCGAGCCCCCTCCCACAGCAGCCTCCCCCTGCTGCTTGCACCAGCCCCTCTCCTGGCTCCCACAGTACCCTGTCCACCCCCTGCCACCACAGCTCTGGTGACAGCACAGCAGACTACCCAGGACCGTGGGCCTCTCCTGGGGCACTGAGTCTGTCGTGCGTCTGTCTGCCTGGCCGTCCACCCACCTGAGCTCTGAGGCAGGAGGGAGGGCCAGCTGCGGGTGCTGAGGGGAGGGTGAGCCAGGGAACTGCCACCGACGGCCTGCCGTGGTGTCTGCAGCCCTGGCGGAGAAGTTCAACCTGGACATGAGCAAGGAGGAGAGCCAGCAGCTCGTCCTCAAGTACGACCTGAAGAACAACGGCAGGTTCGCCTACTGCGACTTCATCCAGAGCTGCGTGCTGCTGCTGAAGGCCAAGGAGACTGCGCTGATGCACAGGATGAGGATCCAGAACGCGCAGAAGATGGTAGGAGCGCAGCCGGGGCCGGGCGGGGCCGGGCGGGCGGGACAGGACAGGGCCCTGCTTCTCAGAGGGAATTGATGCATCAGAGGCTCCATAGGGGCCCCTGGCCAGGCCACCCCGCTCTGCCGCCAGCCAGGACTCACTGCCAGGTGTCCCTGGCCTCTCTGCCACCTGCCCACAAACCTTGCCCAGAGGTCCCTGGACCCGTGACAGGTGCTGAGCGCGGCCTGAGCCCATCTCCTCTGTTACCCAAAGCCCTGCAGGGCAGCTGTCTGGGTCAGGGCTCGGCCTGGAGCAGGGCAGGGTCAAGGCGAGTGTCCGCCAGGCTTCAGGGACATTGCAAACAACTCAGAGACTTACTTCCTTGTAAATGATTCACAGGTCTCCTTTCTCTCCTTCTGGAACCACAGAAAGGCCTGGAGCCTGGACCTGGGTCCTCGTGTCCTGGCAAGAGCTCAGGTGGCTCTTCCCAGAGCCCTGAGGAGCATCAGCCTGACGCCAGGCACAGTGTCAGCCACTCCCACGGGCGCTGCCATGTGGGGCGGGGCGGCAACCACGGAGACAGCTGAGTGCGCCTGGGCGTGGGGCGGGGCTGGAGGACCCCCCACTGCTCAGGGAGTTCTCCCTCTGTTCCCTCAAAGGCACCTGCAGACACTAGGTGGCACCCAAGGGCGCGGCTCTTAACTCTCAGCTGTGTGCAGTCTTCCGCTGACCCCGGCGCCATACGCGTTCGCGGCCTCTCCTCCCGCGCACCTTGGGCAGGCCCCCAGACCTGGACCAGGAGGGGCCCCAAGCTCCTCTGCATGCTCAGTGCGCTGAGTTGGATGACAAGTGCTGCTGGCGACTCAGGGAACAAACACTGAGTCCAGTCACCTTGGGACTCAGCTGGAGGGGCCCTGCCCCCACCCCTGGCCGCCAGCAGAGGTCAGGGCGCTCGCTGCCAGCAAACGACTTGGTGGAGTCCGCGCAGAAAGTGTGTGCCCAGCTCATTGGTCGTCTTGTGCAGAACGCGGGCCCTCTTAGCGGAGCCTCCATTAAACAAGCAGGGCCCCTGTGAGGCTTAGGCCGAGCTCATGGAGGGGAACTCAGGTTGGGGCGTCCCCTGGCCAGCTCAGCTCTCTGGTGAGCGGGGAGAGGCCACAGGTCCCAGGAACACAGTTGGGGACCATGGAGACCACGTGGCCTGAGAGGCCCCTCCCTCCCTCCTTCCTCCACGCCCACGGCCTGTTGCCTGGCCTGTGAGTGAGCGAGGTCTGCCGGCCGGAAGGCCTGTGCAGAGTGGCCAGTGAGGGTGCTGGGAAGAGCACGCTGGGCCTCCTGAGCCTCCCCAGGAGAGGCTGGCCAGCTTCCGGAACTCATCTGCCCTCCCTGTGGCTAAAAGCCGGTGGCAGGTGCCCTGGGACAACCGGGGAGACGGGCCTCATGGCCGATGGCCCAGCACAGCCCACTGCTCTCCTGGCCCACCCCAGGCTCCACGCCAGGCTTCACAATGGTTCTGCCCTTGGCGACCCTGGGAGAGCAGCCCCTGCCCACCTGACTCGCTGTGGCCCTGTCTCAGCCATCTCCGTCCCCTCTGGAGCTGCCGAGGCCCCACCATAACTGAGGCGCTCTGTGAAGTTCTTGCAGAGAAGGAAGAGAGTGGGCTTCCCAGCCTCTGGGCATCTTCTCTGCAGCCTCCAGCAGCGTTGAGCCGCTGGGGAGGTGGCCCCCGGGCTGCTGGATCTGGCGCTGCCAGGGTCACGGGCCAAAGAGTGCCACAGGGTCAGCACACCGTGGAGTGATGGGAACCGGACGTGGGTCGAGCCGTCCCCAGGGTGCATGGACCCACCCATGAGGCAGATTAGCAGCTACCAAAGCTCTGGGGATCTGGGGACTTCCCATCGTAGGCGCTAAGTGAAAGCAATTTGATCTGCTGGTTTGTTTTATGTAGCGCCATGTTCAGATTAAACTTTCCTCAAATGTGTTCCTCGCTGCTGTCGACACTCACCTCTGTGATGTCCAGACATGCGCTGGGCTACATCCTGCTAAAATATCCTATTTCCAGTCAGTGGCGCCTAAGCGGGGCGGGGCGGTGTGCGCGAGTGCTCTAACTGCTGGATGTGACCACCAGCGGGCGAGGTTTTAGACTCCTTACAATCTACTGGAATTCCCAGGGTGGAACCTCTTTTTTCTCAGACCATCTTGAAATTGACCTGGCACCTGCCAGGCCCTCACCTGCAGGAGGCATGTGGCCTCCTGAGCCTCCGTCTCCTCTGTGACCTGGGGGTAGGAGACCGACCCCCTTCACAAGGTGC